TTAGAAAAATGTTAAATGCATTTTCCTTATTTCCAAAATATACATTCCGTGTTCCACTGTCTATTGTCATGAATTTCTTAATTACAATTCCCACCCTAAGAAACAAACCAACACACACACAAACAATATTATTATATATGTATATAGATAAATGTCACATTAATAAGAAAAATGCCTGACTAAATTGCTTTGAGCTGTATATCCGTGGTGTGTGTGTGTGCAGTTATCTTCTTGGTGTTGGTGGGTATCATCTATTTTCATAGATGACAAAACCTTATCTGACTCTTTAAATGTGGCGTGGCTGACAAACGCCGACACTGTAACTGTCAACTTGTCCTCTTCATCATCATTAACATATCCTTGTTTTTCCAACTTTCTCACACACACACTCACACAGAGAATATACAATGTATTAACGTGGGCTTTTCTAGACTTGTGTTTTGCTTTATTTTTTGTTTCTTTTTTTTTGTCTCCCTGTTTTTTTTTTTTTGCTACAAACAAATTAGACACAAGCAAGAAAGAAAATGTGTGTCTTCTTTCTATTTCGATGTCTTTCCTTCTTTTGCGATAATGAACAACACCCTGTTTTAGGTTTCTGGTATTTGTGTTTTTGTAGAAGAGGGGGTGTGTGTGTTTCGCCCAGGATAAATGTAGGTTGAATATTGAAAATTGCTAAGCGAAAAATTTGAGTTTTAACACTTGAAAGGTGATATACTTTTTAAAGGTTAATACTTATCCTTAACACTGTAAAATTGTTCAAAATCTTATAGATGAACTTGTAGGTGTTATGACATTTACAAAATAGTTTTTTTTTTTCAAGAACGTAGAAATTTTTGTGTAATATAAGGGATCTGCAGTCTTTTCATTGTCATTTTCTCCGAAGAAGAAGTAATTTCCACATTTCTTGCCGAAAAAAATCTTTTCGGAGTTAAGGGTGGAAAAATGGCACCCCGAAACATTTTTTTTATTTCCAGAAAATTCTAAATAAAGCCAAAATTAAACATGTACGTTGAATTGGCGTAACATACAGGCATGCGATACATTAATATACATACACACACAAAATTTTAATGTGGATTTTTTTCTACCACTGTGATATCTCTCCAAATGATAGGCAACCCCCAGATCAACACAGCTAATGTCATTAAGGTCCTGTCACAAACAACAATTATTCTGATAAAAAAAGAACCCATTGGAATGTAAGGCAGTCTATGCGGATTTTCTTTTACCCCGAACAAAAGCATGTTTTAATGCACTTCCTTACCACGCAGCGCTGCAGTTGGAAAAACCAAGGGTTGTTTTCTATGACACTTTTGGTTGGAAAAGCCAAATGTGAATGGATGTGTGTGAGAGAGAGACAGAGAGAGATTGTATTCATCTGAAACATATGATAGAGGTCATTGAACTGAAAACGTATAATATGCGAGTATATGACATTATGGGTCATTAGTAATTTATTTTTATACTCTCCACCATTCGATGGAGGGTATATTAACTTTGTCATTCAGTTTGTAACTCCTCGAAATATTTTTAATAGACCCTACAAAGTACATATATTCTGGATCAGCGTAAAATTCTAAGACGATCTAGCTACGACCACCTGTCTGTCTGTCTGTTATAATCACGATATCTTTTGAACAAATTGAGCTGGAAGGCTAAAATTTTGCATACTTGTTAAGTTATAACCAGTAGGTTAAGTTCTTAAATGGGCTATGTCGGTCAACGTTTTCGTCGGGCCAGGTCCACGTCTTCGTATAGCCCCGATATAACGGTACCTCTCGATATTCGATATTTTGATGATTTTAGCAACATTATTCAGCGGAATTTTTTTCAAATTGGCTATTAGAAGTTCAAACAGTGGTATCCCTAAGACAGAAAATTGTCTGTGCAGTATAGCTCCCACGTTTTGGTATAGCTCCCACATAACAGTACCTCCCTATATTCAGTATTTTGATGATGCCAGTCCGCGTCGTCGTATAGACCCTAATATACGGCTACATTCGGTATTTTAAAGATTTTAAAAGAATTATTAAAGGTTTTTATTTTTTTTTTTGAAAATTGCCCAATTCGTTTCAAGTAGTGGAGTGCATTCAAAGTTCGACAAGGCCGAACTTATAGCTTTTTTACTTGTTTAAACACTTAACTTGAGTTTGTTCTTAATTAAACCCTATTTTAATTTATTTTTGTTTGATGGTTGTGTTGAAGTGGAGATTTTCTAGGAGATGTCAATTTCTTCTGGTACCTCTCCCACAAAAGCTTACATTTTTAAAATAATGTAATTAACCCTGATTGGTGGTTCAAGCTTTGAAAATCCGAATATTTATATGACTACTTGGTCAGATGCGAAAATATCTTCCAACTCAGTCGAATACCTCCTCTACAAAGAGTTAAAAGTTTGAATAATTATAAATCTTACAAAATATAAAATAGAAGTTCGATTGGCTTTAAATATCGCATATCTATGTAAACCCTAGAAAACAATAGTGACCTCAATATTAAATTTCACGATTTCAGTTCTATTCCTTCATCCAATACCAAATTTGGTAACATTTAATACGCAGTTCAAGGCCAATCTACATTTCTCCATTTTAGACACCAACAGTGATCCAAAATTAGAACTATTTAGTACTTTTCGATGGGGTTTTACTAAACCACCATTAGATCTTAACACCAGATACCAACAGAGAACTCAATATAAAATTTCAGGATTTCAGCTCTATTTCTTCAACCAATAACAAATTTAGTACCATTTAGCACTTTTCGTACAATTATTGTACACATTTCTTAAATCACCACTATATCTCAATTCCACATACCGACAGAGACTTTAATGTCGAATTTAAGGATTATAGCTCTATCCCTTTGCCCAAAACCAAATTTAGTACTATATAGTACTTTTCGTACAATTATTGTACACATTTCCAAAACTCCGTATCTCAATTCTACATACCGACAGAGACCTCAATAGCAAATTTCAGGATTCTAGCTCTATACCCTCACCCAATACCAAATGTAGTATCATTTAGTACTTTTCGTATAAATATTGGACGCATTTCCAAACCACCACTAAATCTCAAACACAGATACCATCAGTAATCTAAATATCAAATTTCAGAATATTGTCTCTATCCCTTCACACAATACCAAATGCAGTACCATTCAGTACTTTTCGTAGCACACATTTCTAAATCCACCTTCATAGACAGCGACCCTAACAACAAATTTCAGATTTCAAAAACTATTTGTTCACCAAATACTAAGTTGTTCCTAATATAGTGCGATCATTAGGAACTTCTGAAGAACCCTGATATAATTTCAAAATTCCAGCTTCATCCGTTCACCCTAAACCACATTGTTCCAAATTTAGTACCATTTAGTACAGTTCGCAAAATTATTACACATTTCCAAAACCGCCTTCATATTTCAAGCTTAATTGATTCTCATGAATCTCATGCTATATGTCAAATTTTTAGCTCTGTCCGTTTAAATAATACCAGAGAGTACCATTTAGAAGTCCACAAAATGTGCAATACGCATCCGTCTCTCTTCAGATTTCGCACATCCCAATATTTCTACTAACACAAGGCCGGGACCTACACATACTATGTTTCGCCAAAGGAGCTAGAACCCATTATGGCCTAGAAATACCAATTTTCAGACAAATCCGTGAAAAAATGTGTCAAAAATCATCAAATTACCGAATATTGGGAGGTACCGTTATATGGGGGCTATACCAAAACGTGGACCTATAATTACAATGACTCGCCACATGAACTAGGACCCATTATGATCTACAACTAAAAATGTTCAGAGAAATTCTTGAAAAAATGTGTCAAAAGTCATCAAAATACCGAATATCGGGAGGTACCGTTATATGGGGACTATATCAAAAGGTGGACCTATACATACAATGTTTCGCCACACGAACTAGGACCCATCATGACCCACAAATACCAATTTTTAGACAAATTAGTGAAGAAATGTGGCAAAAACCATCAAAATCCCGAATATCGGGAGGTACCGTTATATGGGGACTATATCAAAACGTGGACCTATACATACAATGTTTCGCCACACGAACTAGGACCCATCATGACCCACAAATACCAATTTTAAGACAAATTAGTGAAGAAATGTGGCAAAAACCATCAAAATACCGAATATCGGGAGGTACCGTTATATGGGGGCTATGCCAAATCATGGACCCATACATGCAATGTTTCGCCACACGAACTAGGACCCATAATGACCAACGAATACCAATTTATAGACAAATCCGCGAAAAAATGTGGCAAAAAAATTAAAATACCGAATATCGGGAGGTACCTTTATATGGGGGCTATACCAAAACGTGAACCCATACATGCAATGTTTTGCCACACGCACAGTGACCCGTTATGACCTACAAATACCAATTTTCAGACAAATCCGTGAAAAAATGTGGCATAAATCATCAAAATACCGAATATCGGGAGGTACCGTTATATGGGGACTGTACCAGAACGTGGGCAGATGTATCTCATTTTCAATACCAACCATCCTAGACACAATACAAATTGCTCTGCTAAATTTTGGCGCTCTACGTGAAATAATGTGGGCTGTATCGTGATTTCAACAGACAGACAGAAGGACAGACGGACATCGTTAAATCGACTTAGAATTTTATGCTGATTATGAATATATATACTTTATGGGATCTACGACGAATATTTAAGGATGTTACAAACGGAATGACAAAGTTAAAAATAGGCATCCGATTCTCTTCAAAATATTTCCGCTAACACAATTTTTGAAAGGAAGTTATTAAGTTCTCTTAAAAACGGCAGGCTTACATTTTGAACACCATCAAAGATTTTTATTGAGCTTGTTAAGAGTTATATAGCTTAGTACGTATATGTGTACCCCATTTCAATCAAATTGTAACTAATGTGTACTATTTTCCACTCCAATGAAAACAAAATACTAATGTATATTTTTTTAAAAATTCCTTCTCGTTACAGATTTGATATAAAACTAAATGAAATTTATACAAATTGAGTAAGCAATCGAGCAGCTATTAATTGTACACCAAGTGAAAAATACAGATATTTTATATTATTCCAAAAAACAAAAACAAAAATCAAGAAAATTCCAAGAAAAACAAACAAACAAACAAAAAATCAAGAAAGAAAGTAATCTTGCAAATCAACACCACCAAAGAAAACCAACTATTACAGAGCTAATTTAAAACAACAACATAATATATAACGAATTGACAGCAACAACAAACCACAACAACAACCAGAAAATTTTAAGGAAAACAAACAACAAAATAATCATTTATACACTTTAATAGAGACTCAAAAAGGATTTAAGGATTTAAAGATTTTTGAGTATAAATCAACCAAATGTTCCATATTGAAATACAACAACAGTAACAACAACAAAAAACAATTTATAAAATTTGAATAATTCTAGTCAAATAAAAGAAAACCAAATTTACGCTAAACCAAAAAAAAAAAAAACAAAAAACTTTTTTGCATTTTTGCAATTTTATAAAACAACAACAACAACAGAAAAAATAAATCATTCCAAAAACAAACTTTTCACCCATTTCACCAAAAACCAAACAACTAAAGGAAAATCCAAAAAAAAAACAAAATCATTAGCAAAATTTACTCTTTTAACTTTTTATTATTATAACAACAACTAAAAATTTAAACAATTTTAAATAAATTACCAAAACAACAACTCTTATAAATTGATGATCCATACAAAGATCTAAAACTCCAAACTCCAACCAACAAAATTACCGTGAAATTTCAAAACAACATAGAACAGAACTACGCTTTTTTAAATAAAAAACAAAAACCACATTTCTTATAAACTAAACAAGAATTAAAACAACAACAACAACCACAACTTGTGCTAAGCACTGATCTTCAGAGAAAAGCAGAAAACGAAAAGCTCCAAGTTTGACTTCAAGTTTGCGTGGACGGGCTCACACAAAGCCTAAGGCCAATACAGAAGCCAGTTTTCTCTCATCGCCCCCCGGTTCGAAGGAAATCTTTCAAAATTACTCTCCAACAGCAACAAACCACCACCAACACCAACAAAATGACCAATGCCATGGACATTGTTATCAAAAATGGCAGCACCAATGGGTCTGTCGATGGCAACGATGAATCTCGCACCAACTTGATTGTGAACTACTTGCCGCAAACCATGACGCAGGAGGAAATGCGTTCCCTCTTCTCGAGCATTGGCGAGCTGGAGAGTTGCAAGTTAGTGCGCGATAAAATTTCCGGTGAGTTTTTTCCAAAGAAAGCATTCTCAGATAGTGGTATTCATTCCTATTTTGTTTCATTGTTGCCTTTTCAGTGCTGCCAGCTTCGTTGCAGGCCTTGAATCCAGCCTTGCAGCAAGGTAAGTTACTTGATTTTATATTCGCATTCTCTATTTTTAATATAAAAAAGTCCTTCCGCTTGCAGGTCAAAGTCTGGGCTATGGTTTTGTCAACTATGTTCGGCCAGAGGATGCCGAGAAGGCTGTCAACACCCTGAACGGTCTACGTTTGCAGAATAAGGTCATCAAAGTCTCATATGCCCGTCCAAGTTCGGAGTCAATCAAGGGTGCTAACCTATATGTATCGGGTCTTCCCAAAAACCTATCACAGCCAGACTTGGAGGCGTTGTTTGCACCATATGGCAAGATAATAACATCTCGTATACTCTGTGATAATATATCCGGTAAGTAGATGGGAATTATCGTATTCCGAATTATTTTCGATTTATAATTAATTTTTTATTTTGTTTTAAATTTTCAATCGAGGGAAATGTGCTTTCAAATTTTTGTTTTAACCTTCATCTTAACCTCTACCATACGATTAAGGGCATATTCAATTTGTTTTTCCGTTTCGTAACGACTTTTAATATTAAGTGGAGATGCCACATAGTTTCGGTGAGGGTAGAACCCCATGTCGATTTTGCCACGTCCGTCTGTTAAAATCACAATACCGCTTGCAATATTTAAGATTACGCCCATGCTAAGAGGAGAATTTGCAAACCAACAACTAAAAAACATTAAGTTCAGCTGGGCTGAACTTTTAATACCCTCCACCTTAGGGTAAAGGAAACATTAGAACCTATTATAACCCACAAATACTAATTTTTAGACACATTCGTGGCGAAAATCATCAAAATACCGAATATGGGTAGGTACCGCTATATGGGGCTATACAAAAACGTGGACCTATACATTCAATGTTTCGCCATCGGAGCTAGAACCCATTAGAATCCACAAATACCAATTTTTAGACAAACCCGCGAAGAAATGTGGCAAAAATTATCAAAATAAAGAATATCTGGAGGTATCGTTATATGGGAGCTTAACAAAACGTGGACCTATACATACAATGTATCGTCACACGAACTAGGACCCATTATGACCTACAAATACCTACAATTTGACAAATCCGGGAAAAAATGTGGCAAAAATAATCAAAATACCGAATATCGGGAGGTACCGTTATATGGGGGCTATACCAAAGCGTGGACTGATATATCTCATTTTCAATACCAACCAGCCTAGACACAATACAAATTGTTCTGCTAAATTTTGAGGCTCTACGTCAAAAGAATGTGGGCTGCATCGTGATTTCAACAGACAGACGGACATCGATAAATCGACATAGAATTTTATGCTGATTATGAAAATATATACTTTATGTCTTTATGGTATACGACAATTATTTAGGGATGTTACAAACAGAATGATAAAGTTAATATACCCTCCTTTCCAAGAAGCAGGGTATAAAAATCAGCATAACAAAATTCGAAACTTTTATCGCGCAAATTGCTATTCACTCAATATTCCGAATTGCTCTTTTAACTCGTGATTAACATCTAAAGCATACTTTTGAGCGCTACCAAAAAATTACTGACTGGATAATCTTGTAATTTTGTAAGAGGGTCAATCTTGATTCGTATGAGCATGATAAGGCTGCGTTTTTGGAAAATCCTACCAAAAGGATACGAACAAAAATTGTATACTTTGTATTGGAAAATACGAGATGAGCCAGACATTTAGAATGAGTCATGAGATGGAGTGTAGGATAGATGTACCAAAGGGTCTTTAGAAATGCAAATTTGAAGTTTACAAAATAATGATACTAAACTTTCTAAATGGTACCATGTGGTTTTATTTGAACGGAGAGAGCTAAAAACTTGAAATTTAGAATGAGGATCAAGGTTGGAATGTAAGTTTGATATATACGAAGACTGTTTTGGAAATGTGTAATAAGTTTGCGAACTGTACTAAATGGTAATAAATTTGAAACAGTTTGGTTTAGGGGGAACGGATGAAGCTAGAATTTTGAAATTTTGAAATTTTGAAAAGTACTAAATGATACTAAATTTAGTTTTGGGCGAAGGAATAGAGCTGCAATCCTCAAATTTGATATTAAAGCCTCTGTCGGTATCTGAAATTAAGATATGGAGGTGGTTTTGGAAATGTGTACAATAATTGTACGAAAAGTACTATATAGTACTAAATTTGGTTTTGGGTGAAGGGATAGAGCTCTAATCCTCAAATTTGATATTTAAGTCTCTGACTGTATGTGGATTTGAGATATGGAGGTGGTTTTAGAAATATGTGTAACAATTGTACGAAAAATTCCAAATAGTACTAAATTTGGTATTGGTTAAAGGAATAGAGCTGAAAACCTTAAATTTTTTATAGAGGTCATTGTTGGTATCTGGTGTTAAGATCTGGTGGTGGTTTTGTAAAACCACTTCGAAAAGTTGTAAATCAGGGCTGTCACAGAAACCATGTCGGTTTTGCTTATTGTCGTTTTTGAAAACCAATGTTGGTTTCATTTGGTGTCATGAAACCAAGTTGGTTTTGTCAATTTTGTAAAGTAAGAGGGCATCAGCAGTGGTAGTTTTTGTGTTGTTGGACGAAGAACGCTCAGAAGAGATGACGAGAAAACCTCCAACCTCCTCCAAAATCCACGTTTATGGTCCTTTAAATATCCTTTGAAAAATCTTTAAAAAAATCCACATTTTTAGTCCTTTGAATATCCTTTAAAAATTGTTTAAAAAGTCCACATTTTTAGTCCTTTGAATATTCTTTAAAAATTTTTTAAAAAATCCACATTTTTAGTCCTTTAAAAATTGTTTAAAAATCCACTTTTTTAGTCCTTTGAATATCCTTTAAAAATTGTTTAAAAATCCACATTTTTAGTCCTTTGAATATCCTTTAACAATTTTTTAAAAATCCAAATTTTTTGTCCTTTGAATATCCTTTAAAATTTTTTAAAAAATCCACTTTTTTAGTCCTTTGACTATCCTTTAAAAATTGTTTAAAAAATCCACATTTTTAGTCCTTTGAATATCCTTTAAAAATTGTTTAAAAAATCCACATTTTTAGTCCTTTGAATATCCTTTAAAAATTGTTTAAAAAATCCAAAGCAAATGAAAAGTGACAGCTCTAAGCAACTTGGTTTATTTCCAATAACAAAACCAATAACATTGGCTTCTATGACAACCAAAACTGATAAAATTCTAATTCGAAAATAAAACCGATAACATTGATTTTCATGACACCAAATCACCTTAGTGTACACATGCATTTATTATTCTTGAGTAGCTTTTTTGTGTTTTTAATTCAATTTATGTTTTCCATTATTTATTGTTTATTTTTATTTTAATTTTAGACATTGAAGTTATCAAGAAACTTTTATTAAATGGCATAGGTACGTTTTCGTTTTTGTTTTCTTTGTTTTTTTTTTTTTTGTTTTTGGCTTGTTTTCCAAAATAGAACTTTATAATTTCATAAAAATAATTTCATGTGTAACTTTTCAGGTCTCTCGAAAGGTGTTGGCTTTATACGTTTCGATCAACGCAACGAAGCCGAACGTGCAATTCAAGAACTCAACGGCAAGACACCCAAGGGTTATACGGAACCAATAACTGTTAAATTTGCCAACAATCCAAGCAATAGCGCCAAAGCTCAAATCCCACCACCGTTGGCTGCTTATCTGACACCACAGGCAGCTGCTGCGACTAGACGTCTGACTGCCGGAGCTTTGCCATCGGCTGGCCGCATAAGGTATGTAATAAATATCAAATGGAAAATATTTGAAAATCATCTGATTTTTTTGCGAGCAAGATAAAGATTAGGCATGCTTTAGGGTAAACATTTTCCCAGGGATATTGTCAAACAATTTAGCTCTCTTTCCCCCCGAAAAGGGATCACACTTCCCCTTGTACCATTCCCAAAGTACTCCAACTTTACTTTATAAGAAAATAAACCCAAACATCAAAACTTTGGACACAAGTTTTGGCGGATAAACCCCAGTATTCCTTTACACCACGTATCCACCACTAACCGTTCTCCAAAAACTAACAAATTTCTTAAATTTTTTTATTTTTAATTTCTTTCAAGCATTTTCACATAATTTTTGGTTTTACACTAAAAGAACATTTATTCTCAAGATCTACTTACATATTATTTACCAATAAAACAACAACAACATATTTTTCTCTAACAAAAACTAGTTTACTAATATTAAAATGAATTTTTGTGTATTTTTTATATTTTTCAAAATGTTTTTCTTTCTATTCTTTTTCTAAATTTTTTCGTTTCGATTATTGTTTTTGTGTGTTGGCCACATTGATTTTTATAAATTTAGCATTGGAAAAAGCCCCCTGTTTGCCATTAACAAGGGTTTACAAAGGTGAATTCATTTTGTTATTTATTGTTTTATTTGTTCTGAAAAAAAATTACCAAAAAAAAAAAACAACTAAAATTATTATTACCAAAAAAGCAACTAAAGTTTTGGCATACAATTTGTTTTTGGCAACGTTTCAATTGTAGTGATTTTCTTTGTTTGGTTCTTTATTTTTCCGATGATTTTTCTTTCTTGAGATGTGTTTTTAATTTTTGTTATCGATTTTTAATGTGTTTCGATGTTGATATTTTTGCTATGATTTGTTATTTAATTCTGTAAAAAAAATTAAGTTTTAAATGTAACAAATTTATGTTTATTTTTATTAAATATTTTTTTTATTTAAATTTTAATAAAACCATAATCAACCGTCATTTTGTGTCTTTTGTAAACATCTATCACAATCACTTATAGGTCAAGGGGAACATTTGTTTTCAATTTTTTATAATTCCTAATTAATTCGATATTAGGGGTATTCACATTTAGCACAAATATAATTGCAGTTTTATTCATTGGAATAGAGTTGTTGACATTTTCTGGCGTACAGTTAGGACTATTGCATGTATAAAAAATACTGGCTACTTTATATGAAGGAATTGTCCAGCAACATTTTCCTCAGAGAGTAATAGCGCCTCTACATACTTTATGCTATTAATAAGGCGTATAGTGATTGGTATTTATCAAAATAAACCCGGATAAAGATTTTGTGTAACCCGCCCTTACAGACCGATGGTCCCATCTCTCCTTATCACGGGATCAGCATGCACACCACACACCGGTCCATGGAGGGGGCATATAATCATGTATACAACATCTACAAATTGATTAAGAGACAACCATGCAAATATCTCGCATCAAACTATTTACCTTTTACTTCATTTCAATAAAGAATCTTTTTTGTTTTACTTAACGAATCAGCTAATGAAACACTGCTGAATAAGTTATTGTAGTTTTCCAAAAAAAAAGCTCGCAAGTGGTAAATTAAATTGGAAAAGAATTTACGAGTAGGATGAGATGGAGCATTAAATAGAATATCACCTAAAATAAATAGGGAATCTATGAGGCCAAGTATTAATTTTGTAATAAATAGAGAACTCAACATAAAAAGTTTAATTTATACCCTCCACCATAGTATGGAGGGCATATCAAGTTCGCCATTCCGTTTGTAACATCTCGAAATATACATTACAGACACCAAAAAGTATATACAGGATGAGATAAAAAACTGCAACATAGTCAAAGGCCAGAATTTTTACATTTTTTTTAATTTTATTGAATGAAAGCGAAAAATGTCGGAAATAGCATCAAATTTTAGAATAAGTTTAGATTTGTTCGAATTGGTCGCCTTTGGCACGAATTATGACCTTCAAATGGCCAATGAAACCGTCACACGCTGCCCGAATGTTGCCCTGCGGTATTTTGGCCCATTCCCGGCGAATCGACACTTTGGTATTTCTTACTCCAGGTGCAATAGTCCAACGGATTTTCGGTGGCCATTGAGCGTTGGAAATGAAGCGGGGAACCTCATTTTGTAACCATTATTGGGTGGCGCGTGCTGAGTGCGATGGTGCTGAGTCCTGCTGGAATATCCAAGGTCTGCGGCCGAAATGTTTTCGTGCCCAAGAATTTAATACACACTCCCGAATATTTTCGCGATAATATTCGGCATTTATTCTAATGCCACGGTCGGTTAATACGAGCGGAGAGCGACCATCGGCTGTTATATCGGCCCACACTATCACCATGGCCGCCGCTTTAGTTCTGGTGGCCAACCGAAGATGCACCTTTTTAGCTGAACTCTTTGGCAAGTAAACACGATCGTTTTGTTTGTTTACAAACTGCTGGACAACGAATATTTTCTCATCAAAGAAAAACTACTTCGGCAGCTCACCACTTTTGAGTCTATTTTCTTTATGCTGCGGTGTAAGTTCTTGCACTTTTTGGAGTTTCAATGGCTTTAACCCAAGATAATTTTTCAATATTTTCCGAATGGAATATTGCGATATGTTCAGCTCACGAGCCATTTTTCGGCCACTGCGACGCGGGTTTCGATCAAGTCGCTTCTTCACTTTTCGAACCATTTCTGCTAATGTTGCTGTTTTCTTCGGTCCACTTCCTTGCGTCGGCCTAAGCTACCAGTCCCAGTATCACGATAACGAACGATGGTACGAGACACAAAAGAATTATTCACCTTTAAATGCTGCCAAATATAAAGAAATCATACTTGAATTCCATCACGAATAACTTTTTTCTGGAAAATTCTCACCAAAATGCTTTTGTACGCTTGTAAACAATATAATGAGCTGTCACTGGGATATTTTAACAGCTTTCGGACGAGTGCCTTAGAAATGACGGCAGTCTGAAGGTGGTTGCAGTTTTTTCATCTCACCCTGTATAATATAGACAAAGATTTTTATCTAGAAGGACTGCTGTTGGAGGCTCACTTTAAAAAAACCATTTAATTATTTTTGATTTGGATGTGAATACCCCTTTAGAATTGTAGATGCAATTCCCTTTGACCTCTGTCTCTCACTTCTACACGTTAGCATGCAGCAAAAATAAATAAAAAAAAATACTGACAAAAAACTTCTTAGTATAAGAAAGCATTTTTTAGAGAAACCCAAATGAATGTAGAAATGAAATTACGAAACTTTTAATAAGCTCTAAGCGGAAACAAATTATTAAAAGTTTTGTGTATTACTTTTGTCCCAAAATACCAAAAAATACGTAACATTTATTTTTCTATAATTAATATAAATATATTTTGTTCAATTCTTTTCTCTCCTACCACATTTAACTACTTTAGATATTCTCCATTGGCTGGTGATCTCTTGGCCAACTCCATATTGCCGGGGAATGCCATAACGGGTTCCGGTTGGTGTATATTCGTCTATAATTTGGCACCCGAAACCGAGGAGAACGTCTTGTGGCAATTGTTTGGCCCATTCGGTGCCGTCCAATCGGTTAAGGTAATCCGTGACCTGCAGACCAGCAAATGCAAAGGTTTCGGCTTTGTTACTATGACCAATTATGATGAAGCGGTTGTGGCTATACAATCATTGAATGGTTATACTTTAGGTAATCGTGTTTTGCAAGTAAGCTTTAAGACCAATAAAACAAAAACAGCTTAAGCAGCTCACCGACAGCAGCAGCATCAGCAACTAAACGCAACAAAAACAACTACAACAACAACAGCAAATAACATTTTAAGCATAAATGTTGTGGTCGGCCAAAAGACGACTAAATCATCGAAGAGTAACAACAGCAACAACAAAATTACAAGACAGATATTTTAATGCACGTTAACTCAAGGAGTAACTCCCACAAAGAAAAAAACAAATATACAAATAAGTAACTAAATTAATGGTTTTGAATAAGGCAAAGGTTATAAATATAAAAGAACAACAAATGGTTTGATGAAAAAGACTGAAGTAAATTTTATATGAACGTTTCTTTGGCCTCCTCTTGAGGGGTTTGGTCATTTAAAGACTTTTCCATTGTTCCTTGTTAAGATCTAAAAATTTCCTAAAACCATATCATTGTAGGTGTGTCAAGCTTGACCAGTTTTAGTTGAGAGCTTTTTTTCAAACAACATTGATCTGGATCCGAAGCATAGAGATCATTCGCGTCAAAACTTTCATAGAGAGAGAGAGAGAGAGAGATAGAGAGAGAGAGAGAGTTAATAAATGGAATGTGTTAACAAATGCTTAGTTGCATTAAAGCAGTCAAGAACAAGGGCCCGCTCACCAGCCAATTTCTCTTTGGTTTTAGAAATCAGCAACAAATCAGTGTTAAAATATTATCATAGACAAATAAAGGTAGACTAAAAAGTTTCAAAATTTACCCCTTCCGGCAGATGTCACTATGATTGATCTTGATCCAGTCAAGTCACTCAAGGCTAGTGAAATCACTCAACTTCGAAAACAATTTATTCCGTTTTCTGCTATTTAAGTTCTATATTTTTATATTTCACGACATAGTTGGGTAATGTCAATATAAACAAAGTTACTGTTTCATTTTCAATTAATAAATAATAAAGAATCATAAAAATATTCAATATTTTGTATTTTGAGAGAATTGAGTAAGTCTACTGAACCTCTCTCACAGCATGAACGACATCTATTGAAGCACTTTTTTCAGAGATAACAGATGAGACAACTTTTTAGTCTATACCTAATTTGTCTATGATATTATGTATTGCTTTACTGTTAATTGTTAGCTTTATTAACACTTTTGGATCAACATCATATTTAAAACCAATAAAGAAATGTAGAATACAAAACAAATCAGAATATTAATTTTTTCTTGAATATTGTCTTCTGCGGACTCATATTTGTGCAGTGCTGATTAAAGCTGCAATGAGCATAGACCAGAGCTGAGCAAAATAATATAAAGAGAATTTTCAAGAGAAAAATAATAATATATTTCAACTTTTTTTTTAAACGAATATTGTCTAAATTTGTTATTAGACCTATTTTTTAAAGAGTAAATTGAATAATACATAGGCTTTGGCTGATTGGTTGTTTAACAAAAACTAAGAGAAATTGGCCGCTTGCGCCAGAACACCTTCGTGCTCAACATTGGCATAGACCAATGAATACGTAGACAACAGAATGCTGGATTTGTCTTTCTATCCAGATGGCCAGAAGGCACGTGCTGATTTTGCCGGTAGAGCTACTCGAAGTCGAAATCACATTTAATCGTTTTTCTAGAATTGCACTGGTTTAATGGCGTCATTTAATTGACGTCATCATATAATGTACAGGTAGATCTCATTATGGAAAAATGTTCGACTACCTTTTAGATTCGAGTGACTTTAATATTTGTACTCATACTCCTGAAATGACATGAAATGAAATCTGCTGATTCGAATTATTTTCGATAAGCCGAGGGAGCATTCCGTTGTCTGTATATTCATTCGTCTATGCCAGCACTGCTTAAAACCGAGTCCAAAAAAGTGATTATTTAAGAGAAAATAACAATTATATTTTTCTTTATATTTATCCATTCATTTCAATTATTTTTATACTGGAATGTTGGCCAGAAAGAGAATTATTACAAAAAAAAAAAAAAAAAATATATATATATATATGTATAAATTATGTCTTAACACGGGGTTTTTGACAATTTAAAAAAAAAAAAAACTAGGAGAAATTTGACTGGTGATCGAGGTCTGATTTTTGAGCAGCGCTACGCTCTTTCTCCCATAAACACAGTGCATGGACTCTATGCACTGGGTTTATGTGAGAGAGGCGTAAAAAATGTTCTCATTACTCTTCCTTTCAAATTTTAATATGAGAGAGTGAGAAAATTATTACTCAGAAAATTGGTGGCGATTACTCCCATAAACACAGTGCATAGAGTCTCTATGCGCTGGGTTTATATGAGAGAGGAGTAAAAAAAATGTTCTCATTACTCTTCCTTTCAAATTTTAATATGAGAGAGTGAGAAAATTATTACTCAGAAAATTGGTGGCGATGGCAAAGGGTAAATTTAGTTATTTAATGCATAGATGCTCAAGAAAAAATATCACTTTCCAGTCAAATTTATCTTTGCTTCTTAAAAACCAGAACAAAACAGTGTTAAGTCATAACTTATACAAATATTTTTTTATTCATTTGCTTTATAAATTATTCTGGCAATCATTTATGTTTGAAAACAATTAAATGGAATCGTAAAATATAAAGAAAAACAGAATTTTAATTTTCTCTAAATTATCTCTTTTTTTGGCTCATGCTCTAGCTAGCCCGGCCCCGAACGTGGAAAAGCAACTCCCACATAAACTCAGCATTGAGACAGTTTTCTTTTGCCCACAAAAAATTAAAAACACAATATCTATTATATCCAAAATAGCGTTGCGTTTAAATCTCTTAATGGGTTAACAAAATATAATCTCGCAAGATGGCTGGTCTATATTTCCTTCTTAATCAAAATTAAGATAGCTTTTGCTTCATGCTATATATAAGAGAATTTCATTGAACCACCTCTATTTCCTTAATCAATGTATGATGTATTGGAAAAAGCTTTTGACTTACCAGCAAGCTTTTGATAACGTTTGCTTTTAATTCCCTGTCATTCTAAAAAAAATTACTTGCGATGACGTTTCATTTCCACACTTCTTTGCATCGTCTGTAATGTTTAACTTTCAGTAACGAATTATTTGAGTTTACGTGCTTTCTAGAATATCTGTCTGAGAGAAACCAAAACTTCGTAAAATTATGCTTTGACTTATTTATACTCAATACATGTTGTACAATTTAAAAAAACGAAAAATACTAGTCAAATTTTTTCTTTAATTTTTAAAATAAATTATATAATACGCTAATTTTTCCTTTTTCTTTTTGTGAAAATGCACACATTACGAAAATATTTAATAAAAAATACCAAGAACAAAAACAACAACAACAACAAGAAAAATCTTTGTTACTTAGTAAAGTATAAAATGCTCTTTTTAGACAATTCAAATACGCAAAGCAAAAGAGATAGCGAATAACTCCATATTCCATATGAAAAATACAATACACATGAGTAGAGCTATAAAAGTAAAAGAGGACAAGCAAAAAAAGACAGGAAACCAAATAAACCTCCTTCCTAAATAAAAACAAAAACCAAGCCACCCAATTAACTTAAATGCGAAATAAATATGGAAAACTTTATACTAAAATTCAAATTCTAGTAGACCTCCTTATAATGAAATGTCTTTAAAAACTACAACAATAACAACAATACTAAAATCGAGACACAAATGCAAACCGAAACAAAAATTCTCAACAACCGCGCACATTGTGTAGAGCAAATTAAATTTATTATTATTATTACTTAATTAATTATATTACATTTAATTATAACTTAAATACAAAAAAATATATATTTTAATTGTCTATGTTTATTTACATTTAACTCTCTTTCTCTTAAAAAAATAAAAATAAATAAATAAAATAAAATCATTATGACAAACAAAAACTTAGTAAACATAGTTTTAATTTTTTTTCAAGTTATTTATTTAATTGAAGGAAAACCACAATTTATTCTACTTACAAATGAAAACAACAAGCATACACTTAAAAACAACAACAACAACAAGAAAAATATAATTAATTAACCATAAACTTTATTATATCAATGTTTAATTATTCTTCAAAAAACAATACTGAAAGAAAGGAAGTAATAATAAATAAACCAACAAAAACAAAGCAAGAATGGAAAAACCCAAAAACAATTTTAATATAACAACAACAAAAACCCAAGAGAAAAACAAAACAAAAAAACCTAAAAAAAATCACAAAAATATATTTGTATGTGTGTAGAATTCTCTTTTTTAATTAGCCATACATATGTATGTTTATGTTTAACCGTTTAATTGTCGCATTACTTAATTAATTAACTACTTATACTAATTTATTGTCAAATTCATATAGCAACAACAACAACAACAAAAATATATTTCTTTTATTAAAATCAATTTATCCATACAAAACAAAAAACCAAACTAACAAACAATTCTATTATTATATATATTGAAAAAAAAAAACAAACATACATACTTATATATAAAGAGAAACCTAAACAAAAAAACAAAACTCAAAACTTAACAAAAGTTTTATTTAATCGCAACTTATTTAAGGGAGGTGCTGGCAATTGGCAGGGGCGTAGCATGCAGGGCATACAGGGTATTGAGAAATAATTCAAATTATTTTTAAAGGAAATCTAAAAGACTGTCATCACATCAAAATAAAATAAAGAAAAAAAAAAAACATTTCATTCACCTAAGACTAGTTTGGTGCTACAGAGCTTATCATAGAGAGAGAGTAATAGTAAACAACAACACCACCTTTTCAAAAAAAGAAGAAAAGAAGATCTCACAACGCTGGAGATGTGAAATGGTTAAAAAGTGCCAGAGGTTGTAATTGTTTGTTAGTTTATTATACAAAAATCTACGGGAATTTCAAAAGAGTTTTGATGCAATTTATCTATGGCTCCATCTGTTATTGAATTCCCAATGAAAGAAGAAAACGAGCGCAAATTTTCTGTAAATCTCAATTTACCATTACATTTGGAGTGAGAAAAAGTTGCCAATAGCGTATCTACTTCCAAAATGAAATAAATTATGGGTGTGGAAGACATGGTTCTTCCATCATATAAATCCAAAGGCAATTAATTTGGAAAGAGTCTGAAAACAAGCAGGAAAGAGTAGTTTTTGTGGAACGAAGGAAATTGAATGAGGAAAATTTTATTTTCCCCCCCGGGCCATACTCTTAAAAACTAACTATTATTTAAAGTAAACTTTTCACGTTTGAATTGAAACCAAGAACCAACCAATTGACTATTAAGTCATTGCCAAATCGGCCTGAAAATCGCCTTTCGACAGTTTTTCATCGACTAAGAGGCGATATATATTGACAAACTATAAATTGCCTTACAAAATCATAAATATAAGGATCAATGCTAAAAGTCTACTTAAATAGAACAATACATACTTTTAGGCTTCGCCGGCAATAGTTCTGTAGCAGAACGCACTAGAATCTGCCCCAAATTTTTCTATGGATTGTAGCCGTACTCACAGATTTATAAAAAAATATTTTACCAATGAAAACTTTTCGAAAGAAAAACAAGAATTATTTAGCACATCTGACTCTTAGATGAGATGGCAATAATATTTTGACATTTTCATCATCTTTCTGTACTTTCTTGTCCCATATACTAGCAGAATGATTTTATATTGTCAATGTTTTGTATACTTTCAGGCTGAAACTAGAAAATAACTGGTTAGTCAATTGATTGATTATAATGGCAAAACATTTGTTGTTTTTCTCTGATTGATGGACTTATTTCAAAATACGTGCGATCACTTGATATATATTTTTTTAAGGTACTTCCATTTAGTAAAATCGTTGCATACAAACAAGACCTACATACAAAGACCTAAAATGGTAGAGCCTAGACAAAATGCTTTTTGAACAAATGGATTGTGTCTACAATACGGGGTGAGATAAAAAACTGTAAGTCCAACGCCATAATTATTACATTTTTTTTTTTAATTTTATTGAATGAAAGCAAAAAGTGTCGGAAATAGCATCAAATATTAGAATAAGTTTAGATTTGTTCGAATTGGTCACCTTTGGCAAGAATTATGATCTTCAAACGGCCAAATGAAACCGTCACACGCTGCTTGAATGTTGCTCTGCGGTATTTTGGCCCATTCCCGGCGAAGGGTTTTTTTGAGGTGATCGACACTTTGAAATTTTTTAGTGCGAACCTTGCTTTCCAAAATACCCGGAGATTTTGAGGGCCATTGTGCGTTGTGCTATTCTTGGGTGGCGCGTGCTGAATGCGATAATATTCGGCATTTATTCTGATACCACGGTCGATTAATACGAGCGGAGAGTGACCATCGGCTGTTATGGCGGCCCACACCATCACCATGGCCGGCGCTTGAGTTCCGGTGGCCAAACGAAGGTGCACATTTCAGCTGACCTCTTTGGCAAATAAACACGATCATTTTGGTTGTTTACAAACTGCTGGACAACGAATGTTTTCTCATCGGAGAAAACTAAATTTCGGCAGTTCACCACTTTCGGCCAAGCGAAGCATCTCTTTAGCTCTTTTGAGTCTATTTTCTTTCTGTTGTGGTGTAAGTTCTTGCACTTTTTGGAATTTCAATGGCTTTATCCCGAGCTCATTTTTCAACATTTGTCGAATGGAACATTGCGATATGTTCAGCTCACTAGCCATTTTTCGGCCACTGCGACGCGGATTTCAATCAAGTCTCTTATTTACTTTTCGAACCATTTCTGCTGATGTTGCTGTGCTGTTTTCTTCCGTCCACTTCCTTGACGTCGCGCTACGCTACCAGCATCACGGTAACGAGCGCTGGTACGAGACACAAAAGATTTATTCACATTTAAGTGCTGGAGTGCTCTAACGATAACCACTTGTGGTTTTCAGCCAAATAAGGAAAATTTCACAGTTATCAGGAAATATAGTTGAATGTTCGAAAATATCAGCTGATGTTATTTGTTTCCTTAATTTGGTAATAGCAAATCAATGTGAATGGGAATTTTCACGAAATGTTATTTTGTGAATGGGAATTCGCATTCCCTTTGAGAATGGGAACTCCCTTTTATAGGAGTGATTAAACAAAATGTTATTTAACGCAAAATGGTGTGGCACAAGGTAAGCATCCGAGATAAATACAGTATAATTTTAGCTTCGTAACCGCTGAAATATCTGCAAGCTCAGCCGTAGAATTTATAATTGGGCGCCATTCATACCTAAAGATCAGATTTATAATTCTTTGTATTCCTCATCACTTAACCAAAAATCGTTTGAATATTCTGAAATGTGCATCGGTTAATAATGTCACAGGATTAGGAATGAATTTCAATTATTCAATTTTCAGCCCCGCCCCAGTTTCAACGGAAGCTGCCAAGGCAAATTAAAAGAGTTTCTTTTCTATTTGATAGTTGTATTGTTAACATTTTTTCCGAGATTTCCTCCTCGAATCGTGTATATTTATAAAAGGATTTAAATAATGTTCTGTCGAAAAATTAAATTAAGGAAAATTAGCAAATAAGAACCATTGAAGATCCAAAAAGGCACAGAAAATGTTCAATTGAGTTCGAAGGTTTACATAAAAGTCCTTCCCTAAAATGTCATGGGCAAATAAATGTCCCCAGCCTTTATAGGTATTTCTAATTGCGGAACTTTTTAATTTAGCATCGCCAGTAGCATAATGTATGTTTAATGTTTGACTTATTTGTATTGCCACAAAACTCTACATAATTCTCACAAATAATAGTAAAGCAGGATATATTTCTATTATAATTAACCGGTGAAAAATGTCTACTAAGTTCCCACAAAAACTTCGGTGATGGTCTAACTTTTGAATATTCTTTTGGAAATAATTAACATTTAAAAAAAAAATTCTATATAAAAAAACAACTTCTAACCTCCACAGTAGTGGTAAACAAGTTAGGAAAGTATCAGGTAAGAGTAATTAAGTATTACAAAACTATATTCCAAAATGACCCTCTAGACTAGAGTACACAAAAACATATTTTTTTTAATAAACTATAACTACGATAATTTTCAAAATATACTATTTTTACAACTAAAGTGTATATATGAAATTGCAATTTTTAAAATAAATGTGAGAGCAACTAAGCAATTCGCATTGCCAACTTCATATTCGTTAGACCACATGATCATAGACAGTGTAGCCATATGTTGCAAATTGTAGGATTTAACCATAACAGATCAAGCTTTAATCAGTGGTGACTTCGGCGTGAAAGTACAACACTGTTGTCACTTGTATGTGGTAGCAGCAGTATTGTATTTCGTTCAGTCAAAAATGGCAACAGTGTTGCATTTGCCCGCCGAAGTCACAATTTAAGCGTTTTTCAGTTTCACCCTAGAGAATTGTGACTACTTGAACGATTATATGTCAAAGAAAATAACGTATTTTCGCAATACTTAGATCTGATCATTTGATCAGCTGTCAAAGTATATTATTGTAATTAAAATCTCATTAAGATGATAAACAAACATTTACTCTCATTCGAAGAACACCTCATCGTTGCGTCTTAAGCCACGACAACCTATGGCCTTATGATCCTCCCTCTCTAGATTTTTGAGATTTGAAACATCATTCTTCTGGAATAAAAACGACATCAAATTCAATATCCCTTATGTGCGACATGTTACCTAGTCTATCTTCCCCGAAGCCCCAGCCTCTCCTATATATACATACTTATAAACATAACAACAAACAAATTTATACACAACATTTTCCAACACCAACAAAGTATGCAAAAGTTGTAAAAGTCCATTTTTAAGGATTTATGGAAATACCAAAAAAGAATGGCGCTAAAATAATAGAAGACATAAAGATATATAGTGAATGTCATAACATAACACAAAAATATATATAATAATTATACATTTAAAATAATTTAATTATGAAGATATTTTTTTTTTTGCAATTACATCAATTCTATTTAAATGAAATGCAACAGCAACAAATATTATTATCAATTAAATAATTAAATTATATTATTATTCTCATTATTATGATTATACATTCTCCTTATTATGGTGATGATTACAATTAATTATTATTCTATAGAATATTTAACAGTAAATGTGTGTAATAAAAATTTATTTTAAATTTATGCAAATTAACAATGTCAGCAACAAATTGAAACATAAAGAAACTACAACAGAGAAATCTTAACTAAACAGATGAAGAAAAAAACTCGCATTTTATTGTTTCAGAAGAGAACAGAATAGAAACGAAAACAAAACCAAAACCAAAAACTCTATATGAAATATTCAATAAAAAATTGTATTTTGTTTTTTTCATTGAGAAAAACAAAAAATAAAAAAAAAAACAAACTATTATGGATATATATTCTTATACCAAACACTTGGCAATGGACGAGAAAGTTGAAATTAAATGAAATAAAAAGGGTTGGTGCAAAGGTGAAAGTAGATAAAGACACTATTCGATTATACTTCAAAGATTCTGTTGTAGAAAAATTGGGATCTGTAAGAGGAATATTGTATTTTCATATATCTAAGTATGAAGAAAAAAAAATTAGAAGAGTTTTACCGCTCTATCAAAAGGTCAATTTCCACTTTTATATTGAAAGGGGAAATTCTGTGCATTTTAGCATTTTCTTAAGGAAAATCTCCCTTAGTTGGTAAAACTTGGAATGTATGAATTCGATCAACAAATATTCTCAACACGGCTCTGTACGCATTTTACGGGTACCACGCGGGGATTAGAGGTAACGAGATTGCGAACTTTCTCGCCAAAAACAGACTGGGAATTATTAGAACCGTAAACTTGGACAATCGAATGCTGCTAAATAAGTCACGTCTAGAGTTAAAGTCATGGGGAAAAAACTACAAAATTTCTATGGAGAGATCCAAATGAGGTAAAAACGAAGACATCTTAATGCACCTAGGCAACTGGGTCTACAAGCTCTTTTGTACAATCTAGGATGTGTAGTAAATAACAGCATATGCAGCGCTTGCGAGGAAGATGATGAAACGTTGGAGCATTTTCTCTGTCAATGCACAGAGTTTGCAAATATCAGATCCAAATTCTTAGGGAACGAATAACCAGACCTTAGCCATATTGCACAAAACGATCTAAAGCAATAACTTTTAGTCTACTTACAGACTTATACTAGTGTATGTTTACCACGACATGTGGCAATTTTTCGGCCCCTCTTTATACCCTACACCCTATTATGTCTTTGTGCATTTCTTTGTAACAGGGCGTAGGAAGTGAGATTGACCCACAGTTGCTTTTGAGGATCTTCATAGAATCACATTCTGAGTTGATTCATGCATGTCAGATCGTCCGTCCATGTATTTTTGTGAAAAAAATGCAGGTCGCATTTATTATCCGATTGAGATGAAATTTTGCAAACAATATTTGTTTGGACCAAGGACGAACCCTTTAAAATTGGTGATAATCGGATCAGATTTGGATATAGGTCCCTTATATTCGGTTAATTGTGCACCAAATGGCCAATATCAGTCCAAATGACCTGAATTCTGTCATATCCGACCGAATTCAGTCTAAAAGCACATACATTTGGGGAAAATCGGTGCAGATATAGCTATAGCTCCCATATACAGTATCGGCCAAAACCCAAGCACCCCCTCAGAACAATGATATTAAATGATAATATTTTTAAGAAAACAAAGTTATTAATTTTTTTTATTTTTTTAATTATTTATATACTTGTTATTGAAAAACACAAACTTAAGTAATACAGAATTTAATAAAAAAGGTTAAAATTAAAAAAAAAAATATTTTAAGTCGCAAATGGAAGCGGACTAAACTAAAGTACCCCCTAATATTGTGTTTGGAAATTTTGCTATGCTACTGCGACATTACTGTATTAGTTAAAGGTACACTCCAAAAATGCAGCAGCTATTAAGCTGCAGTGTTAAGAAGAAGAACTTGTTAGAATTTATGTAAAAAAATT